AATATATTGTAGATAGGTCCACCCCTGTGGGCCAGCTGGTTTGGCCTGAAAGGTGTCCCAGATCAGGGTGAGGGTTTCCGTGGGGTGTGGGGTGGCCTGGGTGAGGGGCCTGTGGTGGTTTTCAGGCCGGCCATGGGGTGAGGGTCCCTGCTGAGGGGGCATGGCCAGCCTGGGTGAGGGGCTGAGGGTAATTTTCAGGCTGGCCACATTCCCTTCAGGGTGGGGAATCTCGCTGGGGTGCCTGGCCAACCTAGGTGAGGAGTTTAGGGTAATTTTCAGGCTGGCCACACCCCCTTCAGGCTGGGGGTCCCCACTGGAGTGCCTGGCCAGCCTGGGTGAAGGGCTGATGGCTGTTTGCAGGCTGGCCAAGCCCCCCAGCAGGGATTCTCACCCTTGGCAACCCAGGCTCCCAGCCCCTCCTTGAGCAGAGGCCAGGGTGGGCTGGAAGCTTGGCTTCCTCCATCGCCAGAGGAAACCCAAGCCTCCTGCTCACTGCAGCCTCATGACCGCCACCATCTTTGTTGTGTTAATTTGACTACTCACTCCTGATTGGCTGGTGGGCATAGCAGAGTGATGGTCAATTTGCATGTTTCTCTTTAATTAGTATAGATTTATTATTATTTTTGTTGTTGTTGTTAATCCTAGCCCTAGGACATTGTTTTCCGTATTGAATTTTTTTTTTCCTTTCCTTAGAGAGACAGAGAGAGTGGAAAAAACAGAAAGAGAAAGAGAGAGAGAGGTACATCGATTGGTTGCCCTTGACTGGGCCTGGGATAGAGAGGCTAGTTCTATGATTTGGAAATGCTTCCCATTAATTCAGCTGCTGCTCCCAGGAGGATCTATCACTGATGAGCCCAAGAACTAACTGTTGGTGGGGTGATGCACAAGGGAACCCAAAACAGATGGGAAACCCACAGAAACCCTCAGGTAGTAGAAAGGAAGGAACAAGCCCTGATTTCCTCCCCCAGCCTCTATCTTCCTCTATCATTGCCTATTAACGGGCCTTTACAGGAAGTAAAGCAAACATGATGTTTGCAAAGTCCCACCCAGCATCACTAAATGGCAAATATAAAAGTGAGTTTGGAGCTGAGAGATAACAACTTAATAACTGGTTCCTTTTCCTATGGTTTTGTACATCTTCACATATCTTTTATTTATTTATTTATTTATTTATTTATTTATTTATTTATTTATTTAAAATATATTTTATTGATTTTGTACAGAGAGGAAGGGAGACAGATAGAGAGTTAGAAACATCGATGAGAAAGAGTCATCGATCAGCTGCCTCTTGCACACCCCCTACTGGGGATATGCCCACAACCAAGGTACATGCCCTTGACTGGAATTGAACCCAGGACCTTTCAGTCCCCAAGCCGACACTCTATCCATTGAGCCAAACCAGTTTTGGCCACATATCTTTTATTTAAAGATTTCTTCTTGGACTTGCTTGTTCTGCCCAACTTCCATTCTTCTCCATATTTCTTTTCTCTTATTAACCTTTTACAATTAGCAAATATCACAGAGCCTGTCATAGGGGAGATAGGAGCTACTCAAAATGTTTGCTGGATTAATGATAATACAAGAGAATAAATGATAAATGATGATAAGTGATAAGTGACAAACAAATGCAGACTTCAGTTGCCATATAGGCTCAGTGGAGAAGGGAGAGACTATCATGAACTTGGGTGGCCCCTAAAACTTTTCAGGTGAGGTGAAGATGCATGGAGAGAAAGATGCATTCAAGGTGGAGGGCGTGGTATGAACAAAGACTTGGAGGTAGAAATGAGCTAGTGCCTTTGGAAGACAGGCATTGGCGGTAGCTGAGGCTTCCATCAAGAGGGAGAGGCTGGCTTTGGATAGTGCCCTTTAACCATTGGTTATACTGTGGAATCCTAAAGGAGCATGGGATATTGTCAATAAAGAAGAGGCATACAAGGTGTTTCTGGCATGAGAGAGTCATGGTGAAGGCTATCAGAGTGCTGTGCAGGGTGGTAGGGGTAATATCTGTTGCTCAGGTCTTAAGCAGGTATTTGTAGCAGAATGGTGCTTCTGTTAATAGGAATCAGGAAATTAGGAAGAAAAACAACCTTTACAATTTTTTAATAGTTCTGGGATTTTGATCATACTGACTTCAATTTGAGAGCCCACTTGCAGAATCAGGGAAGTGCAGAAAGAGCTAGAAAATGAACCGGGGGAAGTCAAATTGTTTTCTTGGGGAGGAAAAAAATTCAGGCCAGTGTGTGTTCATCCTTGTCTCTACAAGGATGGGTAACAGCAAGAGGTAAGCAGTGCGTAATGGTTTAGGTTAATTAGAGTCAGCACTTGAAATTGGGTAAGGTGATCAGACGGGGACAGTCCCGATTTTTAGCGGGACAGTCCCGATTTTTAACAATTTGTTCCATGTCCCGCGTCGTTTTAAAAAAAGTCCCGATTTTTGGAAAGAAATCTTTGACGCTGGACAAATTATTAAAAATTGGGGCTGTCCCGCCAAAAGCGGGACGTCTGGTCACCTTAAATTAGGGATAGACCAGTTTCCCATCACTTGACACCACTCCTGTCCCATTCCCTTGAATCTTGTTGAGGCCATCAAACTATCTTTTCTCTCTTTGTGGACCACCTTGCCTACCCTCTGAGAAAGAACCTTTGCCTATATTTTAAATCGTGGCAAAGCCTTTTATTTGTTTACCAGGTTTAAAATAACATTTATTTATTTATTTTAATTTAGTCTTGGTGCTCTTTCTTTTTAAAGGAGAATAAATTTAGCAGGAAAAATATTTTTGGCAACTTCCAAATGGAATGATAATATATTGTTGAGAAAACTAAACCCACTTGATAATCAGACAGGTGGACATGTTCAAAACGCTCTAGTTTCCAATCCCACCAGAGCATTTGCTTCACAGACGGAAGAGGGGTTCTGTTTCTTTTTTCCCCTGTTAGAACATTTCTACTGTTTTTAGGAGAGGCCACGCCCTCTTGCCTGGGGCCTGGGAAAGCCAGCCTCACTTCTCTCACATGGAACTTTAGCGAAGCACTCGGGCTACCAGGCACATTGGAGATCCTGTGGGTGCAAGTCCGCAGAGACCAAGGGCACGGTAATCAGTCCAAGGAGACAGTTAATTTTAGTACAAAAGAAGTTAGATGTGATTTATTTTCAACATCAATGAACCAAAAGAGCTAACAGTCATCAGAAAAAAACACAGAACCATCAAATACTCCAGGCAAAAATGGCCCGTGCAAGCTGACATCGGTGTCCTCGTCATTGTTAGCAAGGGAGACGGCTCCAGTGGCTCAGGAGTGATGTGGCGGACATGTTTAAGTTGTCTTTATAAGAAAAGGGTTTGAATCGTCAGAGAGTTGGAGAAATGGATTTGGAGACGGGAAAGAGAATAGGAAAAGAAAAGAAGGCAGGAGAGGACAGGAGGGTTGTTATAATAATATCGTAGCTCATCGTAGCTCATTCATCATTCCGTTCATCATCATCTTCAGAAAGGAAGATGCTAGGACAGGATCCATGCAACTTGTGCTGCCTCTTCATCATCCTGTCTCAGCTGCTGCAGAAGACCCCTCTCCATGGCTCTCCCTGCTGTGGAACAGAGGGCAGCACACCCACCACCAAGCTCAGCAGCGCTCCCTCAGAGTGTTTTGCCTCCAGGATGGACCCTGAGGCAGGTGAATTGTTCTCAGCTTGAGCAAGGTGTTCCCTTGCTGTTGAGCCAAGGACTTTTCATAGGACTTTGCTCAAAGTCCCATTGTTGATTTATTCATTTCTGCAAAATAGCTCAAACAGCCCCTTTTCCTGTTTTTGAGACTCACAGAGCATCTGGATCTAACGACTTAGAGGAAAACCTCCAAAACCCATGTCAATGCAGGATGAGGGCTCAGACTGGGATGCACGAAGTCCTAGATCCTTATTTTAATGAGGGGAAAGCCCTAGATCTTTCTCATCCTTCTCTCTAGGTCATTATTTACCAGAATACTTTGGGTCCCGAGTCCCATTCCCTCTAGTTAATCGCCCTGTCCTTTCTGCAGTCACTACATCATCATGCACATAACTCCCGTTATTGCCTTCACATATGGCCCATTAAACATCCCTCAGTCTCCACTGAGTATGACAATGGCTTAATTACCTGTGAATCTCTTGTCCCTAGATCAGTGCTTGGTATATAATATAGAGTAAGTAAGTGAATGAAAGCCATTTATATTGAGTGAATAGCAATTACTTCAAAAACAAAGCTGTCCATATCTATCCCTGGCAAATAAGAAAGAAAACATTGGGAGACTCTTGTATGTGTGAGAAGAAAAACTAAAAATCATCTTTTATCATATGCAGAGAAGATGACGTGGGGGAAACTGCTTAGACTACTTGAATGGGACCCAGGTCTGGAGTGGCATTTAGATCTGATCCCTGAGGTGTCTGTCTAGGGCAGTGATTTTCAACTTTTTTGACCCCATAGCATACATAAACTAATTACTAAAATTCTATGGCATACCAAAAATATGTTTGTTTGTTTTTTTCCAATCTGACGAAAATAAGGTACATTTTGATTCGCTCACTCTGGATGGCTATTATTGTGTGGGTTGTTGCCATTTTTCAAATTTGACAATGTAAGGCAAAAGAAGTTGGGGCCCCTGACTGAATAGTCAGGTGTGGCATTTTAAAAAAATTCTTGCAGCATACCAGTGTGCCATGGTACACCAGCTGAAATAATTGGTCTAATGCAGTGGTGGGCAAACCTTGGCTCCTGAGCCACATGTGGCTCTTTGTCCCCTTGAGTGTGGCTTTTCCACAAAATACCACGTGCGGGCGCACATGTACAGTGTGAGTGAAACTTCGTGGCCCATGCACAAAAGTCGGTTTTCAGCCTGGGTGAGTCTATTTTGAAGAAGTGGTGTTAGAACACTCAAGGGGCCAAAGAGCCGCATGTGGCTCGCGAGCTGCGGTTTGCCGACCACTGGTCTAGTGCATATTTCAAAGCAATGATTTAGAGCTTATGTTTTCTTAAGTTTTCTATATTGCTCCTACTGACAGAGATCATAAAGTACTTTATTCTTAGTTCAAACATGTTGGCCTTTGTCAGACCAAGCATTCAATTGTAGGGGTCAGAAAACGCATTTCCAGTGGGCTTAAATTGGGTGGGCTACGTACTTAAGGGGAAAATGATTTTAAAAATATCAGGGTGTGCCTGGCAAACAGGAGAGCAGTCAACTACATTTGACAGTGGTTGAGGAGAAACTGGATTTTCTCCCATACGCATCCTGGGCGTCACTGTAGCCCCTTCTCTTGAGCGAATGGTTACCAGCAAATGGTCACTCGAAGCTTTGTCAGGAGTGCTCATCCTTTACCGTACTTTATTAAAGCCTCAGGCATGTGCCCCTGCACCCTCTCTGTCCTGTTCATTGTTTTGGCTTCAGAGCTGGGGAGCAAGGCTGGCATCTCATGGGGAGTTTCCATGTGTGAAGGTCTACATCCTTCATTCACACCCTTCAAGGTTTCCCTTAACATTTTCTGATTGTGTTTCTGAGTACATGGTGTCAACAGCTCTCAGAATTGTTAAGTTTTCTATTTATCCCCAGGCCAAAAAAAGGCACAGATCACTGCAGTGTAAAATTACCAGTGGTTTTGACAGTGACCTAGAAGAACTATAGAATGAAGAAATTTAGCCTTGAGAGCTGAGGTCCAGCCCCAGGCTCATCTTAACCAAGAGGTTCTGCTCAATTATACAGGCCACAAGGAGTTCTGCTGGTCCTGAAAATATTGAACTCATCCAACTTACGTTGGGAAGTGTTGACTCATCTTGATGAATGGCCAGTTTCAGACACCAAGTATCATATTTACTTGCTTATTTCCTTAACAATTATATTCCTACACAAATTTAATTTTGAAAAGTAATTCTATGAGTTTTGAAAATGGCCTTTTATTTCTTTTGTAGGAGCTCCAAAATCAGCACAAACTCTTCTGAAGTCTTGAAAAGATTAGCTGGAATAATTAAAAAATTGCCAGATTTGCTGAAAATAGAAGGAAGGAACATTTCTTTGGAATTGCTCTTGCACAGCCTTCAGAGAGACAATGTTGTAATGGGTAAGAGTTCAGGCCTTAGAGCTGGGCCATCTGGTTTGCACCACAGCTCTGCCACTTCCTAGCTATGAATCTGTGAGCAAGTGACCCTCTGTGTGTCTCAGCTTTTTCGTGGGGATGGCATAAAAATGTCTACTTCCCACACCTGTTGTGAGATAATAGGTATGAAGCACTTAAAAACTGTGCTTGGCACATAGAAAGTATTCATTAAATGTTAGCTACTATTTTTAATTAGATCATAACTTAGAACTGTTGCAGATGTATTGTGAAGGTGGAATACAAAGTTAACACTGGGAAGCAGTGAAATATATACTGAAAAAGGGAATTGTGCAAATAAACAGTTTAAGATAGTTGTGTTTAAATTAGGAGACAATTCTTATGTGTCTCCTTACTCTATTAAGCATCCCTTCATCAGATCCCTTCTTAAATGGTCTTGAGCTTTCTACATCAAGTTCTTTTTTTTTTCTTCAGTTCTTTTTATTATTTATTTATTTATTTATTTATTTATTTTATTGATCATGGTATCACATAATTGTCCTCATTCCCCCATTCCCACCTCAAACCCCTCCCCACATTTGCTCCCACCCCTCTGGTGTTCGTGATCATTGGTTAGGTTTATATGCATGCATACAAGTCCTTTGGTTGATCTCTCCCCATTACCCACTCTCCCCTACCTTCCCTCCGAGGTTTGACAGTCTGATTGATGCTTCCCTGTCTCTGGGTCTGTTTTTGTTCATCAGTTTATGTTGTTCATTATTTCCCCTAGATACGTGAGATCATGTGATACAAGAAATACACTTACAAGGATCGAAAATGAGACCAACCATAATGGTTATGCTCAGAGGCAAATGAATCAGTCTGTAGTAAGTTTCTTTCTGGGCCAACTGTTCTTTTGAGTCCCAATTTCAATGTCAAACAGTTACTTATGTGTATATGTCAGCAATAATATTTCAGTCTGGATGGTGGACAAATGGTGGACAAATGCAGGTCCAACCATCTCTGCTTTGGCCCTGGGCATCCTTTATCAAGTTCTTAGTGATCACAAATCATGGTGACTAGTGTAGTCTATTACTTTGCTTCCATGTTAACTTCTTCAGATATAACCCCTGGCCACTCGCTCACTAACTGCTGGAGGAACACATTAAGGTCTCCAGAGCTTCACTGACCTTCCTTAGGAGATGGGAACTCCAGTATCTCCAAGCCTCTCCTCACAAAATTTTTTCTTTATTTCCACTCTCAGTGTGCTTATATATCTTCAGCATGAATAAATAGATTTCCAGGATTACAAAAATTTCCTTTTGGAAATACTGCATAGGGTCTAGCACTTTCTTTGAAAGGTAGAATCAATTGTATTTTGGTGCATCAGTTAGAACTCCCACTTTAACATCTTGTTACATTTACAAAGCCATCCTTTCTACCTCATCATGGCATACTGGATTTAGAACATTTATAACTCCCCAAGCCTCAGTGTTAAACCAACAAAATTAGGGATAAATGAGAAAGGATACTAACATTTACTGAGTTTAAGTAATTTTCTCAAAGACTCACATGTTTAGCAAATGGCAGAACCAGAATTCCCTTCCAGATCTGTATGTCCTAAACCCAGTTTCATTTGCTATATTATGAGGTATTTATTCAAAATCTATCCAAGAAAATGCTTCTTTGTATTCCTTCTTTCTTAAACTCTCTTGATCATATTAACCATTCTCTTAAAATGCAGTTAAATTTTTTGTGTGTTTTGGGTAAAATCCCCAAAATGTCAAAAATTTAGGCATTTCTTTTTCCACCTCTTCTATCTCATGAATGAAGATGAGTAACTTCCACTTTATAACTTTTGAGGGCTTTAATCAGAAAAACCTATAAAACTAGTGACTTTGTGCACATTTATTCACTTGAGGATGTGTTTATTAAGTTGGTTATATATATTTGAGCTTCATTCTTTAATTCAATTTGTCAGGTAAAAGAAAATTACATTAATATGAATTTATAATTTATTTCTTTCCTGATATAAATCTGAATCTCAGAAACCAAAACATGGCCTTTGCTTCTTAACTCCTATTAGGGAAGACACAAAGAACTAGATCTTTCTATTAAAATGCCTTAAAACCAGTTTTTGTTGATACTTAGACACATCAGTATGAAACTTCAGAGCACCAAGAAAAAAAGAGAACCCCCTAAGAGATTCAATGCAGGAAAAGACAGATTACCTTCTGAAGAATGAGAATTCGAATAGCTTTTGACTTCTTATCCACAACATTGGATTCTGAAAGAAAATGGAATCATATCTTCACATTTCTGAGGGAAAATGATTTTGACCAGAGCAATCTGTGCCCAGCCAAACCACCAATCAAGTGGAGAGGGGAAAATATATCAACATATAGGAAATTATAGTTTATATTTCCAAAGAAGATAATTGAGAATGAATTCCAGAAAAATGGATAACATCATGAAGGATGAAGTCTTGAGATCCAGGAATTAATAGCTCTACCCTACAAGGGCAGGGAGGGAAGGCCCTTGGTCACAGCTGGGCTCCAGAGCTGTCTGGATTGGTTCATAAATTCAGAGAGAGCTGGATGGCGGTCTTAAGAAAGAGATTGGTCCACAAGTGAAAGTATGGTGGTGGGCAAAAGTAGGCTTGCAATTACATTGTGACACTCTTTTGAATTAATAAAGTTAGTATAATAATCATAACCTGTGTGTCTTTTTCCATTTGAACAACTGTAAACCTATTTTTCCTCACATCTATATTTGTAGAATTATAATGATACTAGTGGCCAGGTGCATGGATTCATGCACATTGAAAGGAAATTAATTAGAAGGTAGCCAGCAGGGTGGGACTAGGCTAGATGGGCCAGACACACCCTGGAGCCAACCTCCTGCTGTCCCTCCTGGCCAGCCACACCTGGGGCTGTGCCACAGCTTGAAGGGTGTCTACAGAGTGAGCCGGGTTCCTCTGGCAGGTGGGATCTCTCGGCCTGGCCTGCAGGGATTGAGCTGAAACTGGCTCTCTGACATCCCCTGAGGGGTCCATGAGTGTGAGAGGGCATTCTGCAAAGTTGCTGTCATACAGGGTGTGGAACGCAAATGCAAGTGTGCAGTAACCAGGTTTGGGGCCAACAGTACCCCAGCAACAACATAACCCATAGCCAAAGGTGGAATTTCAGGCTCTCAAGGAATTGGCCTCCCTTCTCTCTGGTTCCAAGATGTATCACCTGAGAACCGCTGCTGTCAGGTCACTGCAGCTCCTGTGTTGACATCTGCCCTCTAGTGGTCAGTAAGTGTCATACCTACTGGCCGGTTGGCCAGTTGGCTGGTCAAATGGCTACTTAACCTTTTAAATATATAGATAAACCCTTATTATAAGTTATGTTATTAATTGTTAGAGAGTCAACCCCTAGAAAAACTCACATAAGACTTAATAATAACTACAGAAAAGAACATAAATGTTATCAATTTTGACAATGTACTTGTTCAAGTAGAGTTGACAGATATTGGGGTGTGGAATGGGGCGAGAGGTGTGGAGAAGATTGAAAGACAGGGCCAGCAATATCCTTATCAAATATATATAAAGTTGCTAAAATGAGAAATAGACATTGGTTACTTAACATTACAACTATAATCAATACGAGAACCTAAGTTATAAGTATTAGCAATTAAGAAGAGGGTGATAGATAAAGTGAAGTGGGAAGTAGAGATGTAAGGGAACTAAATATCATTCATAGCAGGGAGTAGATAGTTATTGTTTAAAGTTGGTTAAAAGAGAAATGGAGATAACCCTGTTAGAATGAAAACAACCACAGTAGGCCAAAGAGGCTAACCTGGAGAAGAAAATGATTAAGAAGGGAAGGGACTTAGAGTAAATCAGGGACTGCTTATTAGGTTGCCTCTCATCATCATCATCATGAGGAGAAGGAGATGTAAGCCAGATATATTTACCAGCTGGTTAGCCCCGCCTTGAATGTTACTACATGTGGTTTAGGCTATAAAGGAACTATCTGAAATAACCTTCTTGATTTGAATCCAGGCAATGAGGAATGGAAACTCAGGCTTCTCTCTACCCAGCTATGAACTTCTGATTTTCATGTACCGTTTCCATTTTGCCTTCTGGCTCCATGTACCAACCGTTTTACCAATTGTTCTTATGATTGAATTTGTGACTGGAAGAAACTCCTAAAAGGTTGGAATTTCTCTTTCAATGACATATTTTGCCCTAAGAAATGTGTTGGTCAGGCCCTGGTTTTCTCTAAGCCACTTTCCTCCTTAATCATTTTCTTCTGCAGTTTAGCCTCTTTGGCCTCCTGTGGTTGTTTTCATTCTAAAAGGGTTATTTCTATTTCTCTTTTAACCAACTTTAAACAATAACTATCCACTCCCTGCTATGAATGATATTTAGTTCCCTTACATCTCCACTTCCCACTTTATCTATGTTGCTTAGTCTTAGGGAAGGTAGTTAACTTACAACTGATAACAGCATTGCAGTAGAGTATTGTAATCTGCTGACTTCAGAGTGAGCACATGGAACTGACTGAGACCTGGAAAGATGGCCAGCAGCTGGGATGGGCAATCAGGGTACCTGTCTCATAAGTCAGACGAGACTAGTGGCTATTAAGCGTTTCCCTTTTGCTCTTTCCTATAGTTCACAGTTGGGTGAAATTTTGCTCATAACTGGACTTCTAAATCTGATAGACCAGATGATTTTTATGGACATTCGAATTTACTTTGTGAAAGTAGAAGCAACAATAAGAATTATAGGAATTTAGTGAATTTTAGCAGTTACTTAAATTTTCAATTCTTCTTCTTCTTCTTCTTCTTCTTCTTCTTCTTCTTCTTCTTCTTCTTCTTCTTCTTCTTCTTCTTCCTTCTACTTCTTGTTCTTCATTTTACAAAATGCATTTGCAAGAGATTTATGTGCAGAGGCAGCTAGGACACTCACTAAGAGAGCCTCACATACTAATTAATGGTATGTAGAGATCAGGAATTTTCAAATGAGCCCAGAATTTCCGAAGTCTTTCTGAGACCTTCTTGAAGGAACAGGTGGCCTCTGTAAATACATTTACAGTATATATTCCATCATTTGCAAGATTGATTCCAACACTACATCAGAAAATGGGATTCTGGGGCTCACAAGTAATATAGAAGGTCATCAATGGATCTGAGAGTCACCTATTCACATCAATCAAGTGGGAAGTTACTTCTATGGTCCATTTAGCTTGGTAATAAAAGGAACACTATTTCTCTAATTCATCTAGTTCCTGGTTCTCACACAAGTTCCCTCAAGTTCTTGGCAGGACATACCCAAGACCAAGAATTTATAATGTTCCAGCAGGAGAGGAAGGTCCCTGATAAAGAGCCTTGTTTCTTACCATCTTACAGGTACTTTTGGGATTCTTCATGTTAAGGGACTTGGAAAGCATTTCATGATATGTCACCATTTTTCTAAATGCTGATTAGTTTTTTCCACTCTGAGGGAGTGGAGGTTGGAGACCAGGTTGGGATTTGCTACCAAGCATCACTATGGCCTGAACTCTATCGGGCTCCACCTTCATCTCTCCTCAAGTTTCTTTTATTAGCTGTGTGGGAAGCTCTTCTGTAGAAATCCCGCCATGCCCTTCGGTAGACTTGGCTCCAAGTGAAACGGTGATTTTCAAGCTCCCCAGCAGCAAAGCCTGGGGCTGACACCAGGGAAGCTGCACCTGGGCTGGACCCATTTGTACTCATGGCACTGGGTCCTGCACTATCTGTGCAGCCCTAAAAATAGCTCTCAATTAACATTGCATTTCAAGAATTGGAAAATTTCCCAGAAGTCCATTCTTTTTTCCTTTTCTATTTCATTACATTTTGCAGTAATAATACACAAGCCTACAGAAAACATGACGGGTAATGAAAAAATGTAATTAATATAAGCAGTGTAAAGCATGTATTTTTTTCTCCGTTGTCCTTGCAGAAAATTGCTGCTTTAAACCAAGCAGGATGTGAAAATGCATAAAACCCCCCTTTAATCTGCTGTGGTTTGTAAATACCTTATGCAAAACAGTTAAGTCAACTGTCAGATTAAAAAAAACAAAAAACATTAAGTCACATATTCGTATAATAATAAACTTTTTTCCCCCTGCAAGTCTAATTGAGTGACTTGGATAACTATATCTGAGTGGGGAAGAATGGAGGGGATGATGAGGATTTTTGAGAACAAACCTAAAAATGGGAGGAACCTGCGTTTGGATGGCTGCTGTCTATTGGATTCAGCTGAACAGCAGGTAAACGTGCTGCTTCTCTGTACACGCAATTTTGGTACAGGACTGGGGAAAAGTAAGCATCCTTGCTGCTATTTTCACGCTGGTACACCCCATCCCATTAATTGAAATAAAATGATAGGTCAAGAGGCTGTGTTATATGCCAGCATTCCTCAGACCGTTTTTGTTCACTTATCTATACCACCGGCAATATAGAGAAGTCTGTGACTAAAAGGTCACAACAGGATCTCAAAACTGAAATGCAAAATGTTGTTTCCTAAACATCTTTCTAGGCCAGACACAAAAATGCTTACGGTTTGTTTGCATTTGTTCTTTCCTTCGTCCTTTTTTAAACTGCATCTGACATACGTGGTTGCTTATTGTTTATTTCTACCTTGTGCTGGATTGTAAAAGGGTCCCCGAAGGCCCAGGTGTGTGTGAACTCTCAGGTTTTGCTTGGGAGCGGCTGGCCCTGTCCCCTCTGCTCCCCGGGGTCCCCGGTGAAGGTAGGCTCCCCAGCTGAGAAGGAGTGCCTCCCTCCTGTGGCGTTCTGGGCAGCCATTTGGAGTCCCAGATGTAGGAAATAAAATAATCCATGCTCACATAATCACAGAGTACCCATCTGGCACCCAGGAACCTTGCACCATAGGAGCACACAGGCGTGAGCTCACTTTTGTTATGGCATTTCATAAACAGAGCTGCCACTGGCTGGAGAAGAGGGACTTTGCGATGATAACCATCATTTTCCACTTTCCTCCTTTTCTGCCCTTTCCTCCACCACACACACACACACACACACCACACACACACACACCACACACAGACACACACCACACACACCACACACACACACCACACCACACACCGCACACACACCACACACACCACACACACACACACACACACCCCACACCACATACCACACACACACCATACACATACATACATATCATACACACACACACACACCACCACACACACACACACACACCACACTATACACACCACACACACACACACACACACCACACTATACACACCACACACACCACACCACACACAGCACACACACCACACACACCACACACAAACACACACACACACCCCACACCACATACCACACACACACCATACACATACATACATATCATACACACACACACACACCACCACACACACACACACACACACACACACACACACCACACTATACACACCACACACACACACACACACACCACACACACACCACACACAGACACACACCACACACACCACACACACACACCACACCACACACAGCACACACACCACACACACCACACACACACACACACCACACACACCACACACACACACCCCACACCACATACCACACACACACCATACACATACATACACACCACACACACACACACACTCCACCACCACCACACACACACACACACACACACACACACA